CCCCCCCGGCCCCCTGAAACCTTGCAGGATAGTAACTTGGTTTTGTCAGATGAAAATGGTTGTGAATATGCAACAATAAGGGTAGGAAAAGAGATTTTTGGCACAGAACTGGTAATAGTCTGTAACATTACTGTGTCTGTACAACCCCCAACACGCAGTGGCTTTAAACAGATATTTAAGATTTAACGTTATTACCCCTCAAGCTTGCAATTTAGCTGGTTGTGGCCTGCCACATCAGGGACAGAGACTGGTCAGTACAGAAGTCCACAGCTTGGGTAATTATGCTACTTCACTTTCCCTGTAGGGTATCAAGCAGCGGAGAACTAAGATGCTGATTCTTTATTCCTTCCCCCAAATGGCAGAAGTGCATTTCAGGGGCTTGGGGGAGAGAAAGCATTTCTTAATTCCTCACTGAATCTGTTTATTCTTCCGTCCACTTGAGGCAAACTGAAAGAAATCACCAGCATATGAATACAAAATGGCCAGCCTGATTAAATATCAGAACTCTCGTAAAAGGATTGGACTTGTCAAATACGTTATTCAGTTGATATAAAATTATTAGCATAATGCAGAACTTGTCTAAAAGTCTCATCTGGTTCACCCTGTAAGAACAGATATACACTTTTTTTAAACATAAAGAGATCAAATATGTATATGAGAAAAAATATGAAAAAATCCAAATTGCCCTCCTCTTGTGTACCTGTCATCTGAAGGTTTAAGTCACTTTGGTTCATGAAAAAAATGTAAAATTTAAAGGATATAATTCAACATGGAAATATAAAAGTTAATCTTGACTTGAACAGTGATCTATACATATTATATCTGAAAGCATTAAAACAAAATTATTGCATAATTAGCAGAATCATGCTATATTCTTAAGCTATTTCTGATTTCTATAGCCTGTCAAAATCTCACATATGATTTCCATATGGAAGTGCCTGCTTAAGACAGATTTATTTTTTAAAATGCAATTAGAACTTGCGAACTGAAATAAGTAGCTTTCCTCATATTTTCACAACTTCGCTTTCGTAAACTTTTTAAGCATCAAGTAATAGCTTTTGTACTCCTGACCTGAAGTATAATTTTCAGGAGAAACATACTCTGGATCTTGCTTCAACACTGTTTCAGTTACAAGCTCGAGACTATTTCTGCACTGTTTAAAGTCTAATGTAGCAGAGCCAAGACCATATGAATTTCAACCTGGAGAGTTGTAATGTAGTATTTGGTTCTTTTGCTCCCCTACCAAAAATAAAGGTAACAAGATGATCCTATCAAATAAGAAGATTTAATAAAAATAAACATAGAATTATGTTTTAATAGCTTGCAATACATGGAGAACAGAAATAGAGGTACCACTGACTAGTTCTATAGCGTTATCACAAGATGCAATCTCTCGGAACAGGGAGATTCAATTACTAGTTTTTAAATCAGAGCAAGACTAAAGAATAACCTAGCTTTCAATTTTATCAGAAAAACAAACATAAGACGTGAACAAACCAAACATAAGAAAGACTAAAACAAACCAGACTCCACATGGACTTCCCTACTCCTACACAAGGGAGGCTTTAACAGAAGCCTTTGTGCCTGTTACTGTGCATTAATGTCCCAAGTGCCTCTTTCCTAATCCCATTCCATTGGAGGAAACTAATTTTTGTATGTACATACATGTATGTATGTATATACAGATATACATACGCAAACACAAAAACTTGCAGCTTCTCAAATGAGATATTAATGCAGTTACATCAGTCATGACTCACAAAGGAAACTACCATCTATCCTCACCCCAGTGCATGAAGAAACACATCTATTTCCTAGACTTTTCAAAGATGTTCATATATAAGGTGCTTCCTAGAAAAAGGTTCAGTTATAGCTAAGAAACAGAGAAGGCCAAAATTTGACATGCTCGCTTTAGTAAGTCACACATGAAGTAAATCAACAATTAATCACCACAGCCATCATTGCCACAAACATACAGTAAAAGGAATTCCAAGTCTGTTGACCACAGCTACACGCATTATAAAACGCAAGTAAAATTAAAACATTCTATATTCAAATCTCTTTCCATAGTTTCATTTTATGTTATGACATCCCTTTCCAGCTACAGAAATGCAGTACATTTGAGCAGATAACAATAAATGTCCTCTAACAAACACCAACATCTTTCCCCTATTTATGGGGAAGACAGGCTAGCAAAGAGAAAGACTATCATATTACTTTCTATTAAATTGCTTAAAATTATATTGAACATAGGTTTAACATAATCTGGTCTACCAGAGGAATGTATGAGTTAATTACATATGCAAACTTTCTGTTCTATATAAATGAAAAAGAAAAATCATTCCATGCTCTAAAACAGGATATCCATCTTTGTAAGACTTGTAGAAACTGTGACATATGGAACACTAGGAAAAGGTACTGGGAGGCATCAAGGGGATAATTTTAAGACTCTGTCAATACTGCACCAGCCAGATTTTAAATTCTCTGCCAACTCTGCTAATTGCATAGTAAGGAAAAAGGTTGAGACTTTCCAATTAAAATGTAGCGTTGCTGCTAGGAACTTGCATAGGGATACGAACATGGAATGACAAATTAAAACTCTTATGCTCAGAATATTAGTATTGAGACTACAGTTCCACAGCCATTTCTTTGGTAACAATTGTTTTAGACATGCCTGCCCTTCTGCCCAAGCCAGCTGTGTTTCCACTCTGGTGTTCCCTCTCATTGTCACAGCCCAGCTGTTTGTGAACTAATGCAACACCATCAGTACACTCATCTGTCGCTGGTCCTGGAGTGGGGACAAGTGACCTGGGCAGAGCAGGAATCTGGGAATGTCAAGTGTTATGACACTGATGCTTGAATAACTACTTGCTGGACAACACAGGAAAGAAAGACACAAACACCCACTCAAGCACAGGGGAAATACAAAACTGCTACTGAAATGCATTTTAAGAAACATTAATTACTGAACTAAAGATCAGAAAACCAAACTAGAAAATACTGACATATTTTCTCAATTGACAACTCTGAGAAGAGATGCCTCTTACAACTACTCTGGAAAGGGATCAAATGCAAAAAAAAAAAAAAATCAAATGGGAAAACCAGAGGCTCATAAATGCAAGTCAATAACCTTATCTTCCTTCAGAGACAAAAACAGAATTAAGTTCTGTACAAACATAAACAGCGAGGAAGTTTGTTTCTTAACCTCTTAAATGCTTTGACTTTGATGAACATTATAAATGCTTACTCTTAAACCACCCATGACTGTTGCAAGCGTCCTGCATATTTTCTATCACTTCAGCATGTCTTACTTGCTATCGACAGCTTCTTTTACTAAAACGCCACCTGTTCTTTTCTGAACTCTCCTTTCTAAAAAGGATATCAAGATCAAAAAGTGACTGACAAAATTTCAAGTTATCTGCGTTCACTGATCACAGCTTAATCATAAGGAAAAACTGTCTTGGCTAGTTTTATTACTATTGTTGAAATATTTGTGCCTTCAGATCTTAAGCATGCTATGAGCAGGAAAGAACTTTCAACTAAAAATAAAACACAAAATGGATGTAAAGAACTTAAGTCCTTCTATCACAGCAACTGACTACCGCCACTTCTAAAAAACACCTGTGGAAACTAAGAGGCCTAATACTTCTTGGCAATACTGTGTGGAGTAAATCATTAATTCCTAATTAGTAGCTTTGATGTTGCATCTGTAAAGCCTCTGCAACTTTTCAGTTGATACCTACTGATCAAAGAGAGACTCTAGTCATATTCTGCCAAATATTTACTAGTCTTCTTACATGTTAGTAAATACAAGTTGCTAATAAGCTGACAATAAAAACATAGCTGTATTAATTTTCACACACCTCCATTCTAGTAGTAGCTACAGGTCACTGACCATAAAAGTATTAAAGGACTTAAAATAGAGCAGTCAGCCAACTCCAGAGGGTAGATTCAAATAAAAAAGACCCTGGGAAAACTAGACTGCAAAGTCCAGATTCAGCTAATGGATGACAGAAAACTTGCAGAAGTCTTTTCTTTGTTAGACATTTTATTCCCTGTATGCAATGTATTCTAATCTGAAAAGACCCCATTGTGCCATAAATACCTCCAAGTATAGTAGGAATATTAGTTCCATTGATATCACAATAAAATTTGCTCGTGATTTCAAATGAGCAAGTTTCAGTTCTGTATTAGAAGTTGTCAACTCAGCCTTTGTAGTCTCATACTTTATGTTTACTTAATTTATTTTCTATATTAAATATTAAGCAATAAAAAGGTAAAAATAATTTTAAATACTCCACTTTAAATATAGTTGAATCTTATTCTATCATACTGTCATTTTATAAACAACCTAGCGGAAAGGACTGGCCATACGTAGCCAGACAATTTTTTTTTTTTTTAAACTGAGCTCAAATCAAGGAAGAAAATCCACGACTTAAGAGCTTCGTAATAGAATCATACATCTGTTGAACTAATGATTTAATTAGCAGTTGTATAAAGCAGAGACATGTTATTAAAAGTCTCCATGAAAGAATATACCATTGTTGTGTGTTTTACACTGACTTAATACGTAACTGGTGACCATTGAATGTTACTAGGTTGAATTGCCTGTAATCCAATCCCCTTTTTTTTTTTTTTAAAGCTTTTAACCAAAGCTTTTTATCAAACACAGAAATATTCATTGACAGTAAGTGCTGTAAAACTGAAACCAAAGTGATCATATTGTCACTGCTATGTTTAAAAATGTAACACTTGAACTAAGTAGAATGATACGTGTTTTCAAGCATTACTACAGAGGAAATACACCTGCACTGACAACTATAAGGAGACTGAAAAAAAACCAACCCAAAACAATCACAAGTCTCTCAGTAATGAATCACATTAGTTCTTGAGAAAAATACTTCAACGTAATGATGCATGTTAAAAGATAGATATGTAGTTATTGGGAGTACACAGAAGAATAGAAAAAAAACCATAACACACAAGCTCTGAACACTCACCATCTGAATTGGTTTTTTGTGAAGATCTCGTTCAGTCACCAACTTTTCTTGGTCAGTGACATAAAGGCCTTTTTGTGCCAGGGCTTGTATAACAGCATCATGACCTAGAAGTGGTTTTGCAGCATCACTCTTGAGAATAAGGCTCCCAGCACGACAGTAGAGTTCTGCAGACAGCAGCAAGTTAACAACAGGTGGTTTAATGTGCTCCTGGTCATACTGGTCTGTGTAAAATGGTTCTCGTAGTTCTTCTGGAACATTTTCTACAAAAACAAACACACAAAAAAGCATTAGTATCAGAAAGGAGAGATATAGTATTAGGGTTTTTTAAAATCTATGAACTCAAAATTATGTTAAAGAAAGTATATCCAAAGGAAGGCCAGAGTCTTTACCAGTCATCATGATATAAAACACTAGGAAAAAATGCATACAAATGTAACATTTGAACTATAAATAGAAATTTAAGAAAAATTAAAAAAGAATTCCATGCTGCAAAGGCCACACCAGAAGGCCAACCTGTGGTTTACAGCATCATTACTTTAAAATTTCTTGGCTTCTCCAAATACATGCCCAAACATTCTCATTTCCTTTGGCATAACATTATATAGGTGAGACATATAAAGGCAGAACAACATCCATTTAAACACAAACCCCTTTCTCTGCTACAGTAATCAAATGGAAATGGAACATTGTATTTTAGCACAGAATAATTCAAGACGAAAGGGGAAGCTTCCACTCAGCAGCCTTCTAGGTTCCATATATGCATGAAAAATTTGATTACTATACTACCTATTTAAAAGGTCATGCATCACAGAATGATGACAATCCAGCAGTTAAGCATAAATACATGGATGTTTTACTGGAATTTAAAAGAATGGAAAAAGAGGAAAAGAAAATTATTAATTTTGTTCTGACAAAATGTTGAATTCTTATTTGTCTATTTGTGTTATTGACTTCTCCTAAAATTGTGGCTTTCCTCCTTTTTCAATGAATTGCTTAGTACCCACAGAAAGCTATGCAAGATTCAGCCAAGTTTATGCTGAGATTTTAACCCCAAAATTGGCATTCCAAGACAATCTAACAGCTTTTCCAAATACTTTACAAAACATAATACGGGCAGACTATAATTGTCTACCACAAAAGTAATAGTTATAAATTAATTAACTATTGTACTAGATCAAATGAAATTAAATCATCAGTGAAGTGGAAAATAATTTAGACATGGCTTCAGACTTCACATTCTAGACCCAGGCACTGCAAGATGCTCCACTTTCCCCATGTAGGAATTTCACTCTCCGTTGGTGTAAAATTAGTTAAGCCAACAGCATTTATGGGACAAAGAGCATGTGATTCTTTTTCTGAGCCCAAATGGAAAAGCCTATTTAATTGCTACAAGGAAAAAAGTAGATAGTGATGCAACTCCAGGTTCCTAACCCCTTTGCCTTCAGCTGGATAAATGGCTAAACAGACAAGGTTTAGCAGAGGGTGGAGTAAACAGCCCACTACGGGTGGAGCAGGAGAGAGAGAAAAACAGAACATGCCATCACAAGAAAATGACAGATTATCTTCTTCCTCATACATATTCTATTGCAATTCATGTGCTTCCATTACTGGCTTTGGAAGAGGAGCTAGCTGCCTTCTAGCTGTGAAAGGAGAAGATACACATTATAGGGTGCAAAAAGGGAAAGAAATACTAACACATACTTTCTTAAATGTCATATGGATGGTAAAAAAGGATAAGATATCACTTCTTACTTGCCAATTCAGAATATCAAGGGGAAGAGAGGTACAGTTTATAATTTGCTTACACCAGGAGCGTAAATTTGGCTAGAAAGCTGACAGATCTGGTTTAGAATACAGATTAAAATATATTGTCAGCAAAACTAATTTGCCCTTTAAAATACAAGCCTAATGCCTAACGACATTACTTTTTTAGAAGATAACAATAAAACTACTAACAAAAAAACCCTAACAACATCAGGCTATGATACTGCAATCTTCTCTTGCCACTTCCCAGCCTCACTTACTGACTCTATAGGACCTACAGCCATCCACTACTATAAAAAGCACTGATAATTAAGGAACACTATAAGCTACTAGGTACCTGCTTCCCTAGGTATTATTTCCATCTATCTCAGTTCTACCTGTCCTTCTTTCTTTTCCCTGTTTGTCTATACGTTGACTATTTAAATATTAAGCTCATTATTTCTGCAATCCCTCAAGATCCATCTCCACCTCAGTATCAGGAGCTCAAGCCTCACCACGGCTTTATCCTGTATAATTACAAATGCCAACTTTTAAAGCATCTTCATGCTATTTTCTCAAGCCAGAGAGGATTAGAAAACATTTTTTGTAAATATCTCACAATGCACAGGCAGCAGATTTTGCCTATTTTGAAAAAAACAAACAAACAAACAAACCCCAAAAAAATCCAACCCAAACCCAAACCACTCCAAACCACCACACCCCCTTTCTGAATCATGTGGGAAGTTAGATGGGGCAGGGGGCAAGAGAGAGCAAGAGATAAATCCATTTGCAATTTCTTAGAAGACCTAAAAAAGCCTCATTCTCATATGAAAAAATACCTCTAGGCAGGAGCAGTTAGCTACGTACAAACAGAAGTCACATACTCAGTGTTTTCGACTCACTGAAGACAATGACAGATTTCAAGTCTGAAAATATGAGCCAGAAGAGAAATGCAAAGACAGGAAATAACAAACCCATTGCCTGTTAATGAGCAATTTCTGATGTTCTGTACCACCGAAACATACCCTAAACTGACAAGATAAGATGCAGTAAATGCATTTATCATGAAAGAGTGATATCCACTACTGGGATTTAATAATAAAAAAGCTCAATAACCAAAAAAAAAATAAAATCAAGATTATAACTATCAAAGGCAAATAGAATTATTTATAAAGGATATTTCTGCTTCTGAGAAATATAGTAAAAGAAAATTATGTGTATGCCATTTCTTTTACTTCATTGGTGTTCACAAAAATAAGTCTGGAATAGAAACTTATTGTGTTCATAAAAATAAAACTGGAAAAGAAATTTATTAGAGAAATAGAATATAGAAACAAGGGGCTAGGAAAAGAAACTGTGACTACAGATATACTCCGAGTTGATAAAAACAAAAACAACAAAACATGCAAAAAGCATACAAGTAAGGAATCCCTACTGTAACAAGATCAGAAGTCTTCACAAAAATTCCCGTCAGACTTCCCTTTGCACAGACAGAAACACATGCACTTTTCCCCATTTATAATGTGTATCAAACTGTTTGATATCAGAATAGCTCTTGATAGAAGACTCAAACTGTGGTCTCATTTTTGTTATAGTTTTAAAAAACAAGAAGTGCAGCAGCTAGACATAGAGGAAACTCTTCTTGTTACTGATCTCAAAGTAACAGCCCTTCCAGAATCGGCATGCATTGCTTCTGCAGTCCTGTGAAGGGGAATTTCAAGGCTACATCCAGTTCTCAGCAGATTACCAGAATAAACAACAGGGCCAAAGCCTTTATTAACAATTCTGGCAGGATTGGAGATTGTTAAATGGCTCCGTTAGACAGAGAAAAACCTTAAGGCTAATTCCCAATATGTGCATTTTACCAGTCCCTTTCCTTTGCCCAGCTGACAAGAGTCTTTCAAGTAAATGAACAGTTTCAAAATAAATACCTTGTTGCACATACTGCCATAAAGTACCAGTTGACCTTGAAATTTGTGGCAAAGTACAGCAATTATGTTAGAGGGATATATCAGGGACATCAAGTTCAGGAAGCTGAGCACATGAAATATGGATGACACCAAGGGAAGCAGGTGTTATTTCTGCTGGAGAGGCAGGGGGAGGATCTAACCACACTCTTCCAGCACCCAACGGGCAGGTTTCCGAAACATGGACTCGGACTGTGCAGTGAAGTGACAAACGGCCATGGTAACAAGCTGCCACAAGGGAAATTTCAACTGGATAGAAGTAAAAAAGATTCTTCACAGTGAGAGCAGCAGAGCACGGGTACAGGTTGCCTGGGAACTCAGCTGCAAAACCACCATCTGCAGCGACTTTCAAAAATTGAGTGGACAAGACCCTGAGAAGCCTCTTCTAACTTTGAAGCCGGCTCTTCTTGGAGCTGGAGGTTAAACCAGGTGATCTCCAGAGACTGCTTTCACTCTATTTTTTTTCCTAAAATTGTCAAGAGGACCATAGGTTTCAATTCTGGAAATATCTTCTTCGTATGGGTTTAAAAAAAAAATACTGAGATTTTGAATTTTGTAAACATTGAACTGTGAAGAGAATAAATTAAGCTAATGTACAAGTTCAACACAGAGAAAAGAACAAAAAGGAAATATCACATTAGCCCAAAACAATAATGTAAATTTAAGAATCGGGCTAACTTTAAAACAATATTCAACATATCTTCAGGTAATTTTTCCATAAATTATAATAGAGGCAAAAGTCCTGCAGGTGCTCTCTTTAGAGAAGGAAAAAATAAAATATGAGAGGCCTTATTCCAAGCTTTAAAGCAAACAAGGGATTATTATTTCTCCCAGCCATGAGATAGAATTGCAACTTAACTTTCCATTTAAACAGACCGTTTAAAAGGAAGGAATAATCTAAAAATAATCCATGGCTCCCACCCCTGAATTTACCTTTAAAAGCTGTTTTATAAACAAAACTTTCTGCCCAGGTGAATGTGAATTACTCCTTGGACGGTAGTATGAATACCTCCTTTGGAAAAAAATTACTTGTAGTAATGTGAAAAGTCTACACTTTCTTTAAAAATAAAATCTTTTTTTGTAAAGTTTCCAGACTTTCACACAGATGAATACAACCCTTTGAGTTACACGATTATGGAGTTTTTCAAGTTTATAAGAATGAACAATTCCAGATTTATGCATGTTTGCATTAAAGAAGTCCAAAACCTTAGAAGTCTTTATCATCAAGGTCTCTTTTTTTTTATTGCAGAGGATAATATAAGCAAATATTTCACCATGGGCTTTTCAATTAAAATATACATCATTCTTGGGAGCCGCAAGGCCACATTAAACCTCAGCCTAGAAAACTTCCATCTCTACAGGTTACTGACGTCAATCAACAAAGACATTAAGAAAAAAAAATATTTGTACAAGACTAAGATTTAACACAATGAATTCTCTCATGAAAATTCTGACGAACACCTTTAGCCACTTCCTAGTGCAAGCCAGTAGATGAATTTATGCCAAATCTTAATGGATTCAATTACTTGACAGTTTTCTGCAGGACAGCA